TTTTAGGCCTGTATGTGACATATATCAGACGTTAGGACAATCTTCTTCTTCTTCTTCTTTAGTCTTCTGACTTCAGATGTCTCCACCGTGAAACATCTGCTTTCATTCCCCCCTGTCCCTCACCTCCTCCTCCTCCTCCTCCTCCATCAGTCAGTTCTAGAAAGGCTTCAGTTTGGATTGGTTTACGACGGTGTGTTAAACAGTACGACTCGATCAGTTCAGACTGGGGTTGACCTGCTTCCATTTTTTGCAACTATTCTCATTTGTGTACTCACCAGTACTTCAAGTCCTGTCACAGGTACTTTCTAATGGGGATGTGGGGGGGTTCAGTGTAGTGAACTCAAAGGCATTGATGTACAGGTGGAACAGACCATAGTCGTGACCACGTTGCCTCACTGTGTCCACATCCCCGATCGCTCTTATCTGTGACCTTTGACCCAGTGAAAAACTATCTTTGAGGAGTAGTCCTGCCGTAGACTGTTGAGACTGGAGTCTGATTTTGGTTTGAATTCTAATGTAAACAACCACAAAGAACTCCGATCCTACCCAAACCTAAGAGGACTGGAGCGTTAAGACCTGCGGTGTGAACTCAGCCAGAGGGAGATGATGTAAAAAAACATGAAGCCGGGCTGCAAAGATTAAAGAAATCTGACTTCCAAAAATCTACAGATGTCAGAAAATGGGAGACCAATTTGTGGTGGATGGCACGACGCCCGGCTCCACCTCTGAATTACAGTCAGTCTGCCAGAGAACAGCCGCAAAGAAAGAGAAAAACAACACCTCAAGATGACAGAGAAACAAACAGGACGCAAAATGATGTTAGAAGACGCTGCCGTCACTGTGGACGACGTCCCAGCCTTCCATCCTCGCCATCTCCCTCTGCTCCTCACGCTCCTCACGCTCCTCCACCTGCTAATGCTTTAATTACAGATCATATGATCTCAGGTACGGAGCGTTCATTCATCACCGTTAGCTGTTCCCGCCGCTGCTGGATCAATTCTCTCCATGTTGCAGAGTGGGTTGAGAATTAACCAGCGTGTAATTCCTTCAAACTTTATTTTCTCTCTGCTTGGATGCTCGGTGATTACGGCCATTACGGTGATTAACACCGGCTCCGCTCTCCTCGTGTTTGTTCTTCATTAGCACATCTTTCCTCTTTCTGCTCCCAGATGATTGTGCAGATGTATCGTAGGCTTTTCTGACTCTAATCCTAATCTAAATCCCACTCACTCAGAAAAATGTCCCCACACTGAAGATGTCTCTGTGTCAACAGTACGGTGTCAGGACAGTGTCCCCACAAGTAGATATACTATCAACACACACACACACACACACACACACACACACCCAAATGCTGAAATCACACATTTGCAGACGTTTTGCACATTAGTGATGCAGAGTCAGATCCACTCCAGCATTCACTTTGAAACCCTGACAAACTGCTCTTTTATTGATGGAGGATGAGAGGAGTTTCTCTCCAGGTGCTGAACTCCTTTGTTTTTCTTTACATTTATAATACATTCATCACAGACGCCTTCTTTTGTCTGGAAAAAACCCGGGGTGGCTTTCTCTGACATGAGAAAGAAAGGAATGCATTTTGATGATGTCACCTCCTTTTCCCCCCTCTGCATAGTCAATCGTCTGAACTGGAACAACTATGACTTACTTTTCCCAGAAAAGTTGGTACAGTTGGTGCCCTACAAATATAATAATAACATGAATCTGTAGTTAAATATTTTACTTCATTTTGTTTTGTTTACTCCTGTGGTAAGAAGTCAGAGGCAAACCAAGACAGATTATCCACTGAGAGTACTGTGTACTCTGTGTGTACGGGTACTGAGTATTAGCTCATTTAAGTAAAGATACTTGTTATAGGTTTTGGTGAATATAAAGAGAACACAGGAAGCATCCACCCGACTCAGGGTTCAGGGTTTAACTCCTTTGTGAATCAGATCAGATACGTCTACAGTTACAGGACAAAGACCTTCTTGATATTCCTTCAATATTTAAAGTAAAATAGTATCAATAAAGGCCATTAACTGATCTGGAACCAGGGGTTTGAAGCAGAGTTTCTGACTGTTGATCACAGATGTGGGTTCTGTGTTGGTCTGATGTAGTTAAAGGAGAGCGTGGTCAGTTGTTCAGGCCAGCAGCCAGCAGGACAGGGCAGAGGAGTCCATCTCTCTACGGGCTCTCAGGCCCGTTTGACAGGGAACCTCTGCTGTTGTTTGGCCAGTGGTCCTGGAGGCCAGGCTGTGAAGTCTCCCTTACCATGGGAACCGCTTGTGCTCTGGCCAGGAAAGAGGCATCAGAAGCCACAGTCGCTGGCACGAGGCCCGCACAGGCAGTGGCCTGGACCGGAGCTGTCGCTGCTGGAAGATGAAGGGGCAGAAAAAAAAAAAAGAAATCCCTGAGACCGTCGAGTGAAGCCAAAGATTAGCAGATATTTGACAGCAGAGAATGAATCCAAGGAGATGAGATTCTGGGAAAATGTCTCTTTTAATACGAGCAAAATTACAATTAGAGAAAAAAAACATCATCATATCTGCTAAAAAAAACCTCTCATTTATCAAACATGATTACGTGTAATTGGGATGATAAGCCCATTTGTGAGATCAGTGTCAAATCTGCTACTTGAGTTAATTGCTGAATACACTTTGCTGACGTGCCATTAAATATAGAACACACACACACTGCAGCTGACATGTTGGGTGCTGTGTTTAATTGGTGTGTTTTTAACGAGGTTATAATCAAACTGCTGAATTCAGACGATGTGGGGTCAAGAACTTTTTTTCTCATTTTGCGCCGATCCTGAAGCACTATAGCGCCCTCCTATGGTGCACTTTGTAAACCACTGCACCAAATCAATTAAGAATCGATGCCGAAGTCTGTCGACTTGACTTTGACTCTCGTTCAAATACCGAACCATCGGGTGAGGTTTGGGGGAGTCACCAAAATAAACCCTAAAACTTTGACTGTACTTGTTGTTGTTGTCGCATTAATTGAAGGATCAGTCTGGGCTGAAGACTCAGCTCCTTCTTCCATTTCTTCTTCTACTCCTGCTCTGGTCCTTGAGCGTGGCGTACCTCTGGACACGCTCCAGGTGTTAATAAAAATTCTTCATAAAAGTTAAAGCTGTTTATTATCGTTAGTCGTTATTCACGTCCCGCTGATTTAACGGCAGGTTGACATCTTTAAATTCCGTTTATGACACTAATATAACACGGTCCCACCGTGGTATCCCGGAGGAATTACACTGAGCAACAAGACTGGTCTCACATTAGTGAACACTTCATTAAAGAGATCGTTAACTTGCTGCTTTTCAGTAAGAAACCGAACCGCAACCGAACGTATCTTATCTGTAATGATGTGGTCGACAGTGGAGCCAACGGTAAATGGATTAGAGGCAATAATTAGAAATAAAAGGACACGGGGAGAGTGTGTGTAGACGGCAGGGTCTTCAGCCCCTCCCTCTCCCCCCACCCCCCTCTGTTCACTCTCTGTTCAGGCTTCACATAATCAATGGTCCTTTATTCAGATCATGGCTTTCAGCTTGAAGAGGACTTCTGACGGATCGGTTTTCACTCCATGCATGATTGATGAAAGCAGGTATTTAACCTGCCATTGAGTCAGATCACCACACGAGGCGTGAAGAGCCCGCCGTAGCCCCCGAGGTGTTGGGAAATGTTCCGCCTTAATTGACTCAAATGAGGCTGATTTCACCGGCACCGACGGCGTTTTGTGCTCGGCCGGAGCCGTCACCGCCGAGGCTAACAGATTTGGCTCCGAGGCTCCGTTTGATTGGTTTATGTTGCAGCTTCAGCTGGTCGGCAGTTAACATCTGGGTGTGGAGCTGGGTTCACTCTGCAGCTTAAGCTGTGCAGGTGAATATGTTCAGCAGTTTATTCAGCAAACGGCCGATTGTTGTCTTGTTTAAGAGCTGACGTCCTGTTAACACCACGAGCACCAAGGTCTGTTTGTATAATGACAGGTTTATTAATGAATGATTTGGAATTTGATCAAATGGCAGTGTTTGCTGTAGCTCCTTAAATGTCTTCTTTTTTAATACAAATATGATAAAAATAGGTTTATATAAAAAAATGAAAAAAAATATATAATGTTTTTTAATTGACTGCAGCTGATCTTAGCAACAACTGCTGTCTTTGTGTGTGTGTGTGTGTGTCTGTGTGTGTGTGTGTAACGTACTGTTTCCATAATGTTACAGGTCGCAGCCAATCAGCTCTTGAACTCAACTGGGATACAATACACGGCACATTAATCTTCCCACTCCTGACATTATTTACTGTTTCCACCTGATGTCTGTGTTTGTGTCGTCGCCGTCGTCAGGTTTGAAACCAGACGTGTCTTTTTTTTTTTTTTTTTTTTTTTTGTGTGAGTATCACCACAGACCACGTCTGCAGTCTGTGGGTGTGATGGGAATAAAAAAAAAGATGTGACATCGCATCTGTGCTTCTGCTCCACTCACACAAAAAGGGGTCATTTAGGTTCTGACTAAACAGATGCTCACGATCAGCCTCAAATCATCCTGAGTAAGCACTGCTGGATACTTGTAAATATGCTGCGCTCCTCAAAATTTAAGGGGCCTTTCACTTCAGCCTGGTTCCAGCTCATCAAGGTCTCTCTCAGCTGACACTCAGCACATTTCACTGCCCCCCCCACGTCCAATTTGCAGTATTTTATTATTATTATTTTGGATGTTTTAGTGAGGTTGTTCCACAGTTTTTGAGGATATGTTTGTTAATAAACTCATAAATTCTCTATCAAATACATGTTGATACTTATCTGTACACATGCACATGTTGGATGTATTTTTAAATTACTGTAATACTGTAGAAGTATTTTTATTAGTAGAGTGTGAACTGTCAGTTTTGTTTACAGACAATAACAAAGTTTCTTCTTCTTCTTCTGTGTCTGTAACCACAGCTTTTTTATTTTTTAACCTTCATTAATTTTTTTCCATCTTTGGCTGTTACCTTCAGGCCTCACCACAGGAGATCGTCTGCCTCCACCCCGGCCTCCTCTGCCTCCACCCCGGCCTCCTCTGCTTTTCCACCGTTCTCCTCTGACGTCTTCCTCTTCTCCTCTTTCAAGGTAAGTCCATCTCCAACTTTCTTTCTCCAAACCGTCTCCACCTCACCTCTCAGACTTCTCACCTCTCAGACTTCTCCACCCAAACTGCCCCTCTGATCTGCTCATTTCCAATCCTGTCCATCCCGGTCCCTCTCAGCTTTGTGGCATTATAATTGCTGTTCCCTCCAAACTCTTCTTTGAAGAACTGTGTGTTGAGAAAGCTGGAAGTTAATTTAAACTTTGTTGCATGTTAAAAAAAGATGTGAACGTAGAAAATTGTTCGTTACCTGGTGATTGGCAGAACTTAACACAGATGTAAGGGATAGAAAAAAAAACATTCACCGTGGGAAAACGTCCAGAAGAAAAAGATGTGCAAATCAAACAAGTTTTTAATTCTGCTCCTCTGAATTCTCTTTCCCCACATTTTTGAAGTATCTTCGTGTCTCTTTGAGGCTGTTGGCATCCGACCAATTCATGAGAAATGAGATTGAAGAGTGAGACAACCTTGAACTTGGCATTCATTAGATGTTTGTTGCTCTGTAGAAAACTTCTCCAAACGCTGTGGTTATTAGCGAGGCTGATGGAAAATAGATTTTTATTCTAATACACGATGCAGATGTACTATTTAAATACACGGTTATTTATGTAGTAACTCTTCTGATGTTTATGTCACACGTGTCCTACATGCTGTACCACCACTGGCCAAAAAGGAAAATGAGCTCAGCATCGAACAGAAATGTCTAAAATAATCTTTACAGATTTAAAAAAAAACAGCTCAAGCTAGTTCACGTTTAATTTTTCACGTGTGGTCCAGAAGTCCTGCTCTGCAACTGTGGAGCTGATGTTGCGTTAGAAGTCGATCACGGGGGAAAACTCTGGCTCTCTGCAGCAGACAGACTTGGAATCAGTGCAGAATGCAAAACAAACACTTTGGCAAAGACCATTACAGAGTGGAGACAAGCTAATGACTTGGACTTTGGTGGAATCTAAGATATTTAATACAATGGACGAATGCTTTTCATTGTCTCTCATTGTCTTCTCTGTTTCTTCAGTCTTTAAATGTTGGATATAATAGCAGTAACTGTAGACGGATGAACAACGCACAGAGAAGTAGAGATAAAACAAAAGATTCTGATTCGTTTCTTCACCTGTAGACGAACAAGTCGCCAAACAAATGTGACCTTGAACCGCAGACGACGCTCATCGTGTCTAATGAGTTACAGAGCCTCCTAATTGATTAGGTTCATTTTCTTTAGCACGCCCCTCCACTGTTGATAAAAAAACACTCTTTTACCTCAAAGACTCTGCGTCACCTCGGTCTTCCATCCATAAGATGCTCTTTGTTGGAGAGACGGGGAGAAAACTCGCTCCTTTCTTCTTCGTCTTCATCCACACCGAGCTCCTGACATTATTAACCCAGAGTTAATGCCTGGCTTTATGTGGCTGGAAACAAACCCCTGACCTTCTGGTCTCCAGACGACCACCTTTACTTCACCGAGTCTTTCTCCGTGTGCACAGCAGAGGATCTGAAGAGACACACGCTGCTCCAGAGCTGCAGGTTGTCGACCCTACAGCTGCACTGAGAAGAATCCTCTGTAGCGGGCATGTCAAAGTGACACTGCTCACAGGCTCGGATTCTTCCAAAAGGAGGACACAAGTGTGGGGTTTCTTTTTCTTCTTTTTCTTCCTAATATCATGACTCACCTCAGAGCTGCTGGAACAGGCTCCTTCTTGATTTTATTATTTCAAACTGCACAATTCTGAGCAGACCTGTCAAACTATAACAGAATATAGATTTACATGTGTGAAAGTGAAGTTTTGGTGTGAATGTACGTCAATACCCAGGTGTTTGTTAAAACAGCTGCAGCAGGAAAGTGTATTTGAACAGTTGAGCTTAAATTCAGACTAAATGAAAAGTAAAAAGTACCAGGAACTTCTTCACTGGTGATTTTCATCTTTTGACTCTGTCCCCACACCAGTTCTAGCTGAAGGACAGACGGACATGTTTGTTGTCACTCCTTCTTCACCTCCACCTTCTCCTGTTTGTCTGCACTCCTTCAGAGGCTGAAATCATTTGCTAAAAGAACGTTTGCCAGTTGGATGAGTGACAGAGAAAATAATAAATAATAAAAAAAAAAAACAGAGAGAAATGAAAGCTAAATAACAATACGTCCACACGGAGCCATTTGCATGCAGACAATCACTCATCTCTGCACCTCGGTTGACAGACACAAAGCCCTTGTCATATTCAAACCTGGACTCCTGCCATCGGCCGACAACTCACACGCCGCCCGCTCGATGCTGTCTGCGCGTGGCATTATTTCCAGTTGCGGAATCACTTCTAAAATGTTAAATGCCACACACAAATTAAATAGGAGGGACGCAAAGGGGGAACGGGTGGAAATGGACAAAAAAAAAGAAAGAAAGAAAGAAAGGAAAGGAAGGGAGACATAAGTGAGTGAGGAGGAGAAAAAAAAGAGAGGAAATGACAGGGCCCGAGGGGACCAGCATCACCTCCTGTCTGGCTTCCTGACAGCCTGGAGCAGACAGGTGGAGACGGGAGGAGGAGGAGGAGGAGGAGGAGGAGGACACAAAGACCAGGAGATAAACGTGGGTGTGTGTGTGTGTGTGTGTGTGTGTGTGTGTGTTGAGGTGAAGCGTGGTTCCAGTTGAGAGAAGGGCATCTGTCCGTCTCGACACGCCTCGGACTAAAGCTTGCAGCAGCAGCTGTCCGTGTCTGTCTGAGTGTCGTGTCTTTAAACACCTCACCTGGCTGCTGGTTCACTCTATACACACACACACACACACACACACATATATATATAGATATATGATGTACCATGATGCATCTGTGCCGCCTTCTGTTTTCCTCATACTATCTATCACTCCGTCTCCCTCTTCCGTCTCTGTCCCGGGGTCCGTCTGTCCAGTGAAGCAGAGCCGTGCGCTCTCATACCGACGTGCACTCATGCAGGCTATCTCCCTGCCCACCTGCTGGGCCCGTCTTCAACATCGGGGCTGTTTTCCATCCCGTCACTCAACATGTCACTGCTTTCAGGGAGCGCTGTAGATCCTGTGTTCCCCCAGGAGCTCACACACACACACACACACAGACACACACACACACACAGACACACATCAGAGGGACTGAGTTACCGCAGGATCCAGCAGCCTCCCAGTCCCTCTGCTGCACACGACGGTGGATATCACAACACAAACAAGCTGCTAGTTTGGATATTTTCCACTGCGCGATAACACGTTGGGTGAATCAGGGTCCAGAGTCCAGCTGTGGTGCAGTGGTGGATCAATGAAGCCAGTGCAATTTTTACGTTTATAGCATTATATTGTCCCTGCCAATGGTTTGTCAGTCAAAACTACATAAAGAGGAGATGATACTGAAATGGGTCGCACGGTAGAGCGGTGGTCGGTGCCTCTGCCGTACAGTCAGAAGGTCACCAGTTTGAGTCCCAGGTCTTTCTTTGTGGTGTTGCTCTCAAGCCGCAGTTCTATCAGTAGTTATCACGGCTGCCTTACATACAGAAGGTCCTACGTTCGACTCCCAGAGGAACCACACACTCACTGCTGCCTCCTGTGTAGGTCATAAAGGTCAACGCCGTGAATTTCCCCTTTGTAAAAAAATATAATTTTACTGACCCTGTGAATTAAGTTAAAAAAAAAGAAGATTTTTGGAGTAACATCCTTGGTCTGCCAACATTGAGCTGTGTCCATTTGCTGTGTACAGGCTCCACTTCTCCACCGTCTCATCCTCGTACGGCCTCTTAACCTCAAAGCTTTGAAACGGCAGCTCAGAGACTAGAACTTGACATCACATTAATGTTTCATGTCTCTGAGGATCACAGGACTAAATTCCTTTCATTTTAAGGCTGTTACAGAAGTTGCATGAAAAACAGGAAACAGAGATTATTACCCTGTAAAGTNAACAGTTTGATATGTGCATTGTGGCCTGATTGACATGAGCTGGCTGGGACTCAGTGATGTTGTCATGTTCCATTAATCTACGTGTCTTACACTGACACACACACACACACAGAAGTGTGTTTTTCGGTTGTGTGTACAGTACACGAGGCCCAACCTGGTTCTGCCAAACACATGTATGGCACAGCAACGTCTCTCTCTCTCTGCCTCTCTCTCTCTCTCTCTCCCTCTCTCTGAGCTGCTGTTATGGAAAAGCACATCCAGGCCAAACTCACTCCAGGTGGTGGAGGAAGAGATGGAGATGCAGTAATTGATGCACATACACACATACACACACACAAATACACACACACACTCACACATATAAACATGTAGACGTTCAATTCAGTCATGTGGAAACGTGGTCTTTATGATGGTTCAATAAAACAAGACAGGCAGGTGTAGACAGGCAAGTCTCCCCTCTACACACACCCTGCCCCCCCCGTCTGTCTTCCCCACACTCACACACACTCACACTGACACACTGACACACACTGACACACTCTGGCCAGTGGATAAAACAGTCCTTTCATGCTGTGTTTCTATAATAGAAAAAGCTCAGCCTTTCTCTCTCTCTCCCTCTCTCTCCCTCTCTCCCTCTCTCTCTCCCTCTCTCCCTTACTCTCTCTCTCCCTCTCTCTGAAGCCAATCTACCTCCCATTCTAATGCTGGCACAAATACACATTCTTCTGTGGCCTGCGTCTCCTCGCTCCTTCAAAGTCCTCCTTCTGAAGCCAATCTACCAGAGCTGTGGAGAAATGGAACAGGAGCAGGTGTAATGACCCACCTATCAGCTCCATGAAAAGTCTGTGTGCAGACACGTGTGTGTGTGTGTGTGCGTCACAGTGGTGGGGTGTAATTCTTCCCTTAACTGATAAGGACGGACGCTAATGACTTTATGAAAAGGGATCGAGGTGATGACGACGATAATGATGGAAACGGTTTGATTAACGTGAAAACAATCTGGTTGTTGTTGATGACGGCGTTGATGCTGACGATGGTGTTTGAAGGTGGCACAGAGTTGCCTGCGTTCATGCCTGATATCTAGAAGATCATTGGTTCGAAGCCCAGTGGTGACGGATAGTCTTTCTCTGTGGCAGTGTTTCCTCATCTTTCATCTGCAGCGCCCCCTTTGGTGCACAGGACAATTGTGGAGACTGGAAAGCCCCCTGGAAAGAGATTTATTGTAATCAGAAAAAAAAGTTCTAGAGTCTGAATTATTGAGTCGAGACAGAAGTCAGTGACGTGGGATTGGACTCAGTTAGAACTGAGTTAAATCTTGAACTGGTTTGAAGTTTGAACTTCTACGGCATCAACAAAAACACAAGGTTTTGACTTTGAAAAAAAAATGCTGCAGATGCTCACGTAGTGTAAGGTTATGGTAACACCTTCAGGAGTCAAGATCAGGAGTGGAAAAATGCTGCAGATGCTCACATAGTGTAAGGTTATGGTCACACCTTCAGGAGTCAAGATCAGGAGTGAGGCGTTCAAAGACATCCTCGTGCTGCAGGTCCAAAATAGCAGAGGCCAAACCAGAGGCAACTGGAAAAAAAAGAATAGAAAACTAGTAACAGACGTCTCTGCAGACTTCAGGTTCAGACTCTGTCCGTCCGACCGTTCTTTCTTTCATCCGTCCGTCCATCTAAAGACAGGAACTTACGATGCCCATTCCATTATCTGGATCACTTTTGACTTGAAACCTCAAACAGCCGTCAAATTTGTCTAAGTCGGAACGAAGCAGTGCTCCCAAACTAGTTTGTCTTTGAAAAGTAGCTCAGTTTTCTGTTTTTCATTTTTCATTTCTTCTCTGTATACTGTCGTACGTCATGCTCCACTTTAGCGGTAGCACATCTCTCCTTATTGTCGGTGGCACTTGTAAGGAGCTAGCTAGTTCATATGTTAACCTGCACCCCCTTTTACAGCTCCCCTGAAGTGCTCTGGCGCCCCCCAGGGGAGTTGGAACTCACAGAAAATGGGTGTAGTAAACCAAATAACAGTTCTTTTTCTGGAACTCTAGGCTTTTAAGCCCCGTCTGACGCCTCCCTGGTGCATCCTGGGTTGTCCAGTACAGATGTATGGCTGTAGTAACGTATAGATAATAATAACACGGTGGAACAGAGGAGCGGCTGACAGCCGGGACATTAGACATGAGACAGGAGTGGGAATCACTTCACAGAAGAAGTTCCAGGTATTTTCTGTCAAGACAACAACCACGGAGCAACAATAAACATGACGGATGAGAGACATAAAGGGACTGTGCCACTGTACGAGCAGCTGTATTACACTTTCTGTAAAAAATAATTTCTATTGCACGTTCTTTTAATCCACCTTTGTTGACTGTAATGAGCCCATTGTTTCCACTCAGCCAGCCACGGGGTCGGTGAATATTATATGCTTAATATGCAAATTCTGATGCACTGACACTCAAGGCCTGGAGCAATGAGATGTTTAAAATTAGGATCCACTCTCGTCTCGCCTCCGCGTGGTTTGTTACGGCTGTAAAATAAAATTCAAGCTGCTGTTTGCGGCGTTTACAGCCGCCGCTCGTCTGCAGCGGTGACTTCTTTGTTTGTATCACTTAGTTTGTAGTCGGCGCTGAATAAACACGCAGTGGTACAGACTGTCCCCGCTGTCGCCGCAGATGATGGATGGATCCTGGAAGGCTATCGATGTGGCGCTTTACTCCTCATGAATTCAGCAGAGATGATAAGTGTTCTGGGATTTTTATGTGCCAATTAAAAAGGTGCATAAATACTGTGGGATGGAAACACACGTCATGACTGATGTAGTGGTGTTTCTGTGCAGGATCGTTCAGGATACAGCCAGACGTTTTGATCAGAATGTATTTATACCTCAATAAGGGTTTAAGCCTTTTAGAATCCGGCCTTTATTTACAGTGTGTGAGTGAATTAGTGTTCAGAAGAAGCACTTTGTTTGACAACCTGAATGTTTTCTCTGGGCCACGATCTCAATCCTCTGGAAATTTCATCAAAATCCATCTTTAATTTTTTTGAGTTACCTACCAAAAATAGACTTTAAAAAAAATCAAAACAAATAGAAAAAAACAGAAGGCCTGAGTTGAAGTATCGGTCTGTCAGCAGTGGATGTCAGCCAGGATCAGAACTAGCAGGGATCCAGGCCAAACATCCTTGAAATTCCTCCATTTGACCTTAAGTAGTCCAGGGTGTGAGATGATTTTCACCTGGACACAGATGGTTGGTGGATTAAGAAAAAGGTGAAACCCAGAGTGCTGTAATATTACTGACATTATTACTGAAGGATAGATGTTTCAGAGATAGAAGATAAGCGAAAGCTAAAGATGAAACGGGGCTAATAGCTTTGAAAATATTCAAGTTTAAAATAAAAATATAGAATAAATCAAATATTTAATGTTAGCACTGCTATAACTTTAGTAAAAGGCCAGAAGGTTCCAAGAAACGGAACGTAAACATAACATAGTTTAGCTCAAAAAATAGTTAGTCGATCCCAAAAATGTTGTTTATAGGAACAGAAGAATGAACCACAAGTGCCAAACGTACACAACAAATAATTCAGCTTCAGTTTAGTAAGAACGAGCCGAAGGTTAGCTGAAAAAATTAGCCAAAAATACTAGTTATGGTTTAAAATCACTTTCAAAACATGATGTAGATGCAGCTATGGGAGAGAGAGAAAAAAAAATCTGGAAATCAAATTTCAGTATTGACTTTTGATGAGATGATGAGGATGAGGAGGGTGCTGTTGGATGAAGATGAGGAGGTGGAGGTGATTATGACTGATGAGGGACTTAATACCAATAAGAATCACCTCTGAAGGGAGTAAGAGAGAGAGAGAGAGAGAGAGAGAGAGAGGAGGTGATGAAGAGATGGATGGGGTAAAGGGTGAGGATGATGAAGAGGAGGTAGAGACTAGAGAGGGAGGAAAACAGAAATGGTGACGAAGTGATGAAAGAAGGTTGATGTGATGATGAGGAGGATGAAGAAGAAGAAGAGAGGCAAGAGTCAAAGAGAGAGAGGGAGAAAGGGAGGAAGAGTATGTGGGAGAGAGAGGGATGAAAACAGAGAGAGAGATGCAGAAGGCGTGATAGAGAGAGAGAGAGAGAGAGCGTGCGTGAATCAGAAGTCAGAGAGGCAGAGCGAGGGAGAGAGAGAGAGTCAGAGAGGGAGAGAGGAGCGCCGTCACCGTTCGTCCTTCTTCGCCTCAGCTCTGTGACCTGCTGACGCTCGGCGCGGCTGACGGACGAAACCGAGGGAGAAACTTGAGACGATCGCGGTGAGAACCGACCTTCAAAAGGTAAATCCTGACAGAATTAGTGTGAGATCCGACCTGTCACCGTGTGGACGCTTCGTGTTAACGTTGCTGCCGTGTTTGGATGACTGGAGGTCGGGGCTGCTCTCTCTCTCCTCCGCCTGGATCTTTAGGGGATCGCGGTTCTCTGCTCCGTCTGTCTGGCTCTGTGGCATTGGCGTTTGACATTCACTCCAGAAAAATCACGTTTAAATCGGAATCACGACTCACTTTAAGGTTACATTCAGGTGTTTTTTATTTTTTGTGCCAAGAAAACCCATGCGTTTTTCTCTCCTTACAGGCGCGACTCTGTGCGTCTCCGCCACATCTCCACTGGTCTTTACCTCAACGTCTGGGGATGGTTTTTTTTTTTTTTTTTTGGAAACTGTTTGACATTTTAATCCGGAGCATCCTGTCCCTGTAGTCTGTTAGATTATTCTCGGGAGTCCTAATTTCAATCCCCTCGGTGTCCTCTGGCCGCAGCGCGCCTTATGTTACATGTGGGAGTATTTACCCGCTGCCATAATTGCTGTACACATTGATGGATCGATTCCTCCTCATTGATCCGCCTCCATCGACCGGACTCTGGATTTATGGGCCATGTGTGTTTCATTGTGGTAACGCGTTCAGATGACAGCCGAGCTGTCACTTTTGCGGCGCAAATGGGACCGCGTGCGGCGCGATCGTTTTTACGCGCACGCAGCCGTCTGGCGCTGCCCGCGGCTGCGCCGGAGACTGCGCGCGGTCAGTTGGCCGGTGGATTCCCGTGACAGTGACAGAGCGACAGTCACGGTCAGCACCGACACCGCCGGGTGAACATTCTCACCTGAGCGGCTGCGTCTGTGCGGTTTCCTCTGCGGTTCGACGCATCTCTAATGGGGCTGCACGCGCTGCGAGCCGCTCCAGAAAATCCGCCTTAATTGCGTCCATTTATTACATGGGTGTTAATGAGTGTTTGGCTCCAGTGTCTGAAAGTGTCACCGAGGCCGTCGGTGCAGTTCAGCGCGGCGTTTTTTGCGCCTCCTCAGAGCCCGCGGCGCTGCTGGTGCCGCTGTTCTGGTGCGGAACGCATTTGGTCAGATTTACGAGCTGTTTTCTCAGCTTCTATCGATCGTGGCCGCGCGCTGTGTGGTGCACATATAAATATGTTATCAGTTTGACTGTGAAAAGTGAGGTTGTCACGTCTCCCTGTATAATTCCTGGATGCACAGAGAGCGTTTTGATGCACTCCTCTCTGCAGCTGCACGGGCCAGTCCTCCAGTGGAGAGAGCTGCTCTGTGATGGACCGGGCTGGAGCTGCACATAAATATAATGTGATCCATGATTGGACCACACACACACACATACACACATGTAGGGAAGTAAAGAGTGAGATGGGCTTCGAGCCTCTAATGGCTGTGATCACTGTGAGATGTGTGTGTGTGTGTGTTGAGAGCTCATGTTTAATGCATGGCAGTTGCACCAGAGTACATGGGTACAATCAGCTCAGTGTGCGTGAACTCCGTGACTCTGTTTGTATTAGAGGATGTGCATTTTTTATGACGTGTGGACAAGTGCACATGTTTGTGACGCATCCAGATTTCACGTCAGGACGACTGGTGTGATTGGATCCAGGACGATCATGTCATGTCTCTGTGTGAAGACACTGCCAGGAGATGTTGCAGGGGTGTCAATAGAAAATGGAAGGCGGGGGGGGGGGTGGCCAAGCTTTTTATTTTTAAAGGGAGGACGATTGTCATCTGTTACCCACAACAACAACCCTGTATCATTTTCACACAGTCGACGGAGTTGGTGATTGGATGAATCACATTGGCTTCGCCAAAAACAACCTCAGCCAACTCCTGGTCCAGGGGCCACTTCTGGCCCACGGTTCCTCCACCATCAGGCCTGTGACTCATGTCAATAATATTGAACTTTATTTTTCAATTGTTAAAGATATTGGTTTATTTAAAAAAATATATTTGTACCTGCTGTGGACACAGTTATATTATAGTGTTTCTATCAAACAACTTTTGTTTTAGAATATCTGTGGTTACTGTTGTACTAATGTGGTTACAGTTACAGTTAGCATCAGTATCTAAAGCCCAACAAGTCCTTGTGCAGAAACAGCTAACGGTTGGCAAAACATTAATATTAGCATAAAAATGACAAAAAAAAACTAAATAGTTAAATGCTAGGCTAAAAAACCCAAGATTTGACAGTGAAAAAGTGAACCCTGTTAGACTCAGTGATCAGTTTTAGTCTTGTGTTTACATGGAAATATCAGCGTGGCAGAAAACAAGGATGAGGAAATGTTTGGAGACGGGACGTGAGGTTGGACAGATCGCAAGGACAGATAGGACGGACTGGAAAGATGAGTGGGAGACGGGAGGTAAATAGAGAGAAGGAGGAACGGAGTGTGAAAACGGAGCTCACACTCTCAGTGACTTATGCGGGCGATAAAACCGCCTGATGAATCGAAGGTGGGAAACGAGACCGTGTTGTTGTGACAGGACAGGGACATTAGCCGACATCACTGTACGTTACCGTCGACAGTGGAGGAGGAGGTCTGGGACAGATGGGACGGAATCTCGCCATCTATCCAGGGACACAGATAGAGAAGGATGGAGGATCGTCAGGGGGACGTGTTGAAGAAAGGTCGGAGAAACACGCCAGAGGAACACGGACAAAGAGACGAGTAAAAGAACAGCCAGCGTTTGAGTTCTGGCCTTGAATGAACGCCTTCTTTAATCATGATCAACCACCTGTCTCACACAACCTTGTTGCCTCTGCTGCCCAGTGTATCTTGTAAACCTTTGTTAGCATGATAAATGACTGACTATTACATTTTCACACTCTTATAGCTCTCATTATTTAAAGGCTAAATCAAACTCCTTCAGCGAGGTTGTCCCTGAGAACGTAAGCGATGCCTCTGAACACGCTGATCACATCCTTCTACGGCTGGAAATAATGGCTGCACATTCAGCCCCCCCCAAACTCCCCAGGGAAACACACACACAAACACACACAGAAATCATGGCAAATGATCAGTGAGTCTCCATTTCTTTCTTTTGATTCCCGCCTAATGACAATGTAGGACCCCACCCCCGGATGAACACCCATGGGGGCCGTCTCTTTTCCAATGGCGTGTGTGGAAGTCGACTGATGCGTACCATTCGTTAGCTGACAATACAGTGAAATGAATCAGACAACATGGCCTCCCAGGAAGCCTGCTGGAGAACAAGGACATAAACGCTCGGTGCCCAAGACATGAACATTCCCCAGGGGCCTCCACGCACACGGATGATAGAAAGGCTGAATTCCCTTCTTGTGCCGAGCGTTTCAAAGGGAAACGAGACGCTTCCAGGATCTGACACAGACTCATATCAGACTGTTCCACCGCCTGGCTTCACACAGGCCCCGGGTAAATGGATTGAGCTGTGTGAAAGTTTCAGCTGAACGTCTTCCCTCTGGTGTCGGGCGTTTGAAGAGAGGTGTGAAAAGCCCGTGACTCCACAGTGACTCACAGAGCGGACTCTGGGTCACGTCACGTCCAATTATCAGGGTTCATACGGTCACTTCACAACCTCTGTCAGAGCTTTTCTATCTGTCCGTCTATCTGTAAGTAAAACCTCTTCAAAACAAATTAAGCTTAAACGTAGCTATTAGCTAATCACTGTAATTAGCACTCTGATGAAGAAAGTTATCAGAAATAGCCAAAAGGCCCCTCCCTGAATAGATTAAAGATAGCTGATAACTCAAAAAGCTAAACAATAATGAAAATAACCAATAAGAATTATTTATATAAAGTAATAAACACCTAAAGGTAAAACAAAGTTAGCCTTGACGTTATCTTTGTGAAGGAGAAATGGGTTTAGACCTGGTCAGATTAGACTAGAACAGCAACAGAAAGGTTCAAGGGTCCTTAAAATGAGCCTGGAAAGTACTTGAATGTGCTTGAATCCGACCTGGAAACCCCAGTGCATGAACCCTGGATTATTGTGTGAAGCTGAAGGATTTCCATGATTTTATTTTCCATCCGTGTCTTTTCACGGCGAGGCAGCATCAGAGGAGTTAAGGACACGATAACTGGAGTGTAAACTTCCAAAGACAGAGAATTTATGTCAGATTAAGGAGCTCCGACATCCTTCGTGCCTATTGTCCTCCAGCTTAGCGCCGTGTCCCCCGTGTCCCCCTGAAAGGAGGTGAGAGCAGGACACGTTGACCTCCAGGCTGAGCGGCAGTGTATGTAGATGGTGGTGACGTGAGCGGGGGAGAGAGAGAGAGAGAGGGAGGGAGGGAGGGGACGGGGGGTGGGGGGGGAGAGGGGGGGTATTTGGGG